AACTTCTTCTATAAACAAGTGGCTGAGATGATTGTTCTCTGTAGGCAGCTGAGGTGGTTCTGGTATCTGATCATGATTACTCCTGAGTCCTGAGTACTGCTCTTTTCAGTGTTTTAAGGGCACTTTCTACAGGAAAAAGAGGCACAACCAGAACTCGCTAGCTTCCTTGGGATTGGGCGATGTAGTTATAGGCGAGTAGTAGTGAATGTCGCTGGGAGCGATCGAGGCCTGAGTTTCTTTCCTGGATTTCTTCTTCCTCTGACCTGACCTCAGGGAAGCAAAAGATGATGCAGATCCAGCTTTTCCAACTTATGACTGGAACTTGGATGAGTTGGGGGTGAGATTTTCCCAATTATGAGTTAAAACATTTGTTGCAGTATCATAATACAACCATGGTGAAGGGAATTGATCTTCCCACTAATTACCATTTTAAAGGGGCAGTACTATGTAAAATCAACTTTTTTGAGCTTGATTTTATGTTATAATGTTTTTCACTCATCAAAAATATACCAGGATTGTTGCTTTGATTCTTTTATGTATGTTTGAGAAATCCTTTAATCTCCATGGCCACCAGTGAGGTGTGCACAACGCTTGTTTGGACATAGCCCCACCTTCGAAACGCAGCTCTTCCTCAAAGTTGTGGTTTCAAAGCTAATGAGGTTCTGCCTTACGAATCACCCCTCACCTGCAACTCCCCCTCTCAACTCCTTCAGACTAGCCAGAAGCAGTTAGCAAACACCTGGTGGAGCTGCACATCTGCTGAGCTCATTATATGAGCGACTTTTCTGTGCCACACTGGTAAAAATGTTGTTAAATAAAGGAACAATGTGATGACTACCTGAAAGCGGGGTTTGCGAAAGAGCAGGAGTATTTTAAGAGACAGCAGCCCAATTTCAAGGCGTCAAATTCTTTTAATAAAGTCGTATTTGATGTAAATAGTATTTTTATAGCAACTGAAGGCAACATAGCTACTTTATTATCCTGTAAATTTGCCCTTTAAAAAGTAACTAAAGAATCGAAATCTTATTTTGTGCAAATACTTCAGTATTGGTACAATGCCTTTCTGTTCTGTTTGCACTCATTTCCAGCTCATCCAGTGTCAGCAGGTTCACTCATCTGTTAGATCCTACCCTATTTGCTCAGGATCATTCTGTATAAAGCCTTTCCTGCTGAAAACTGAGGGAGGCCTGCGTAGTTTTTCCCCCATCATGTGGTACCACGGCCCCAGACCTGTTCGCATTTGAAAATGCCGAACTAAACTGTGCCAGCTGTTCAAATAACATAACCCCAGCTTCAACACAGGTTCTCCATTGAAGCCACGCTCCACTTGATTGAGTGATCCAGCCTGCAGTGCACTTTATGGTGTACACACCTCAAAATGGCGACATTTGTAAAAAGGCTAATAAAAATATTCCTGGAGCAAGGAATGCTCCCAGGTATTTCCTTCCTTACACCTAGTTACCATTCCTGCTGCGCGCTCGGCTGTTTTCAAAGCAACACTGTCTTTCAGAGACTGGATATTGGTTCTGCTTGTATGAATGTGCATTGTAGGTCGTCAGAGGGAGAGCAGGTAGAGGCTGGAGTTAAAGTTTTAAAAGTCTGATGCAATTTCAGCCAAACGCTAAGGAGCAGCAGGATGAATATGAGGTAAAACTATGATTTAGAGTTTGATGAAAAGCCTAGAACTGAAATCCTGGGGGAGGCAGTGACATTTTATCAGCTAAAGCGTCACGTAGGTCAAAAAGTCAGGTGAGGTGCCGCTGAATGGGAAACTATTGGTGGCTCTGACAGAGCTGCATCATTTTATATATTAGATCATGGTTACAGTTGGGTTATGAAGCATTTCAAAGACTGCACGTTACTCATCAACAGGGGATTCTGAAATTATTGATGCACAAAAAGTGAAATCATTTTTATGCTGGCACTGAAGTTTGTCATCTTTTGGGAGGGATTGTAGTCTAGTGTGAAAATGTTGCTGTATTTTTTGATTCAAAGCCATTTGCTGATTCTGTAAGCAATCCAAAAGCAAAATACAGTTTTATTCAACATGGTGTACAGTAGAGATACTATGTCTGTGTTTTTCTCCATCCGTTGTCGATGTCGTGTCCTTGTATGAGCAACTAATCCTGACATAAGAAGAAATTAAGAAGAAATGCCTATTTCTTGATTAATTTGGTGTTGATTTCTTTGTATGTAGGGATTCATGCAACATCTTCCAACATATAATTCAATATGAATAGCCCTTTTAGCAATGTATTTCCTGGGAAAAATGTTCAATGCTTTTTTCCTTGGTGTACAATAGTTTGGCAAGCAAGAAAAATGGATGATTCAGCAGCTGTATAAAGAAAAGCCTTTACAGGGACAAAAGGTCAAACCACAGCCAGTTCATCTCCTCCCTTGAGGCCTTGTTTGATGACATTACCTGAGGAAAGACTGACCTCTGCTTAAACTTAAATGACTCCTAACTGAGAACTGCACATACTACACAAGGTCTAAAAAAAACAAGCGATATTAAAGCATGAATTCAGAGTCTTGTTTCAAGCTCAGCAATATTAATCAAACAAAACTCTGCCTTGAGTCATATTAGAAACTTAAAGTTAGGAAAACTCTAGGTCTGATACTTCTACTTTGAGCTGTAGTGTACTGTTTTGTCTCATGCGGTTTTCTAAATTTGATAGATAGAAACTGTTTACCTAAACTGATCTGAAAGGAATATGATCGCAAATATGTAACCGTTTGAGGAATTTAAGACGTGAGTAAATCAAATAATTGGCATCATGCAAAGTCATGGTGGATTTCTTGTGAAATTATTTATGAAAAATGTTTGTGCAAACCGAAAAAGCTCTTAGTAGTTTGACTCTGATCGCAGAATCTGAAATTTGCACTAGTAAAGCAATTTCTGCTTGAGGATCTAAAATCAAGATCATGCTGGTGTTTTCTGCAGGTAACTTTCTTAAAGTAACATCAACCCTCAGTCAAAGTGTAAAGCAAAGGAGTCGTTAAAGCGGATTGTCCTACTACCATTAAATGACCTTATGTGGAGTGAATTAAAACAACAGATAATTAATTGAATTGTGAGCACAGCCAAATCACTACATCTTGACTACAGTTAAATCGGTTAAAGGGAGTGTTTAGGAGCAGAGGGTGGATCTACAACTGAGTAATTTAGATTTTTGGGTTTGGTGCAGAGGACAGAGGTGATAACAACCTGTGGTTGTCAAAAAAAAAACGAGATCCGGTGTGTACCGCCGTTATGGCACGCGCAGAATTCATATTTTGATGTGTCCCTCTTTCACTCTTAGCCAGATGACAGGAATTGGTGATTGTAGTGTGGTTTGTCAGCTAACCAGGTGGATCCACAACGCTTAAAATTGAGTCTGCACAATTGCAAAACATTCAGTTCTTGATTTGTGAAGTGTGCTACCTCAACGGGGAGAGTGGTTTGTCGACCACATGTTGGTTTCCTCTCAACTTTCAGCAGTTTCTTTTGTGGCTGAGTGCAATCCATCGATGGAGCCTGATTTGAAAAGTTGCAAAGTCGTTTACAGTTGGATAATTTTCATCTATTTTAAATATTGGTTGTGTTTTACTGCTGTTACAGAACTGAAAGAACCCACACGGTTACAAATGTAAACTCAAAGATAGCTTTACAAATTCCCCCAAAAGAAAGAAGTGAGTCAAAAATGATCTCTGAGGAGTAAATGCCTAATTGATTTATTCTCCCCACCTGTCTTCACTAAGCGGCAGGTTACTGACCTATTTAACACTTCAACTGGAGCATAATTACATGACTGTAATAGCTCAAAGGTCTTACCCAACTGGTTAACTTTAAGCCTCACCTCCTCCCCCTGTATCCCTTTAATAACCTGCATCTCTTGTCTGATCTGTGACTCTTCTCTCACTTCCTGAGAGGGGCCCACCAGTGATCACGCTCCAATTTATTTGCTTTTTATGGTGGTAAAAACAGACTGGCTGCTTCTTATCATAGTTGAGGACAGAAGATTACCTCAAATTTGTTGTTATTTCATTGTACGCAACCATACAACATAAGTCGACGGTGTTTCCCTGCCATCTACAACATTGTATTATAAAAAAGCATTAAATAGATGGGGGGTTTTTTCAACCTACAGCCACAAACTGTAATGTGTTTTATTTGGGTTTTATGGGATTTACCAACACAAAGTCCTGTGTAATTGTGAAATGAGACAAAAACGACACAAAGTTTTAAGAATTTTAGCATATTAGCGTATTTGTTTGCCAAGAAGGTTTGGTTTATTTAGGGAGGTGTGAACGGGTAATCAAACTCTGCTTCAGACCAAAAAATGAACTCTGGCTTGCCTAAGAAAATACATCTGGGTTTGGTTGAAGGGAACTCAGGTACAATTTGAATGCGTATGTGAATGCCAAATGCTCCAGACACAGCTCCAAAACCAGGAAGAGGACTCTAACCCTACAATCTAATCAAACAAGAGAGTCTAATGGTAGCAGGAAAATGGATAGTGATCTTTTACCTAAGACAAAATAGAAATCCTACAATCGCTAAAATATCTTGCTATTCCATTTGTGTTTACATTTCGTGAATAAGGAAGTTGAGGTCATATCTTCTTCAGAGGTTTTTTTGTATCGTTTCTGTCAGTGGTTCTTGGTGAAAAGCAGAAAAGAACAGTAAATGGTGAAAGAAAGAAATTGTAAATCTTACTAGCCATGTAGTGAACACAGCAAATATAGAGAAGAAGGTTCTTAGTTACACACCAAAGCGGAGCAAAAGATCTAAATGTTGAAATAATGCAGTTTATGTCTAATCCACTATCAGATATTTGCCTACTAAATTGAAATACATTGGTCTGCCTCCTTCTGATTAGCAACTGTGTGCTAATTTGTATTATTTTATCACATAAAATCCCAGTGAAGTAGTCATGTTTCTTGTGACTCTTATGCATTTGGAATGTTCAGAGTTGCTATAGTAACAGTAACCCAGGGGATGATAGGCAGGTTAGAAAACGGCAGTTGAAAACTAACTGCGGCTAAATTCAAACTCAAATAATCTTTATCAATCCCAAAGGAGAATCAAATAAATGAAATACTTGATCAACAGACGTTACAGAACAAGAATGAAACGTCTCCATATCTTCACTGTTACGCCGTGACAACAATGGATTGAAGACATAGCAGACACAATAGTCAAATTTAAAGAGTGTAATCTCAACAGTATGTTAACAGCTGGAGGCAGGAAGCTGTGCAGCAGTCCAGTGGGTCTGCCTCTACTGTTTTCCTGATGGCAGCCATTCAAAATGTTCCTGGAGAGGAAGTGAAGAGTCTCTGACAAGGTTTAGCTCTGTTCCTGCGGCTCATCCTGGAAAGAAAGAGGGTAGGGAAACTTAAAGATCCCTTTACTGTCCTCTGCAGGGCCTTATTGCTGATCTTATCCATTCATTATGACATTACTATTTCTAGCATCATCCCATGTTTCATTCAGTACGTCACATCTGTTCTGATCGGTGGAGGAAATTACCGCAAGGAGGGACCGTTGACATAAACGCTTCTTACTTTATGACAAAGTCCCTTATTCATCAGCCAACATTTCTCAAAATATATGATCATCCTATTCTGTCAGAGTGAATAGTGAGTAAAACACAAACACACAGCCGCCACTTAGCAACAACATGTGCTGGGACAAAGTGGGGGGAAACCTGAGTTAGAGACCACTTACTTCTCTGAGGCTTCTTTAAGGTTCAAAGGTCAAAGTGGCTGAGTTCATGACCTCTTAAAAGCCTGAGGTACCCACCCTCTCAACCTTGACTGACCACCTAAAACTCACCTGAGCTCTGCCTGGAGCGCTTATCGGGCCCATCTTGTTTGCAGTTCAGTTGAACTGTCAGAACCCGTTCTGGTCACAAGTCGGGCCGCCCGCCCGCTTCGGCCTTTGACGAGCCGCTCAGGTAACGACTGCCGGCTCGATTAATTTCCCCTCTTGTTCCTCTTGCCATTAAGAGCCCTAAGCTGTCAGCGTGCCTGGACACTTCTCCGCTGGTTGTGTACTTCAACCTGAGAAGATAAACACACTTGATCCAAAAATGCGTGTGTGACATTCTGAGATGCAGCTGGCGCGTTTCACCCCAGGCGGAGCAATCTTGCAGGGAGAAAATCCTCTACTAATCTACCTGGTCGGCTTTTTGAGCAATTCAGACATTCTTTTGTTAAAGATATAGAGATGCTTTCCGACAAAGGCCATGCAGAAATGTGTAGGCCTTCGAGTTTAACTATCTGGGGAACTGCATTCCAGCATAACAGTTATCTCAAAAGAATGCGCCCTCCTGAATAGCATTTATTCTTCATGTAAATAATGCAAAAAAATAAATAAATAAAAAAAAGTAAAAAATAAAAACTAAGCAGGTAGTGTAGGTTTTTTTTTTTTTCCGGTTCTGCTCTAGCGTTTTAAAACAGCCAGATATCGCAGGTTGCCAAGAGGGTGTCAGAATGAGTATTACTGAGGTGTACTCTGGTTTAATGCAGCTGGTAACCACTTCCTGTTTTTCGAACAGTGAATCTTCTCACAGTTTGGCCATAGTTTCCTGAAGTGTGTTTCGCGTGTGTAAGCTGCAGCGTTTGTGTGTTGTGGGTTAACGCAAGCTGAGGTGGCTTGCATGTTTGCAATGAACAATCACAGTTCCTCTCTGCTCGGTGCGGCGATGCACCTTTCTGAGCTGCAAACAACAAAGGTAGTAGGTAAATGTTTTGCAAGAGAGGTGAAAAACATTCATATACACAAACATGTGCGTATAGAAGTGGAGCTCCTGCTGTACAGGAGCAGAAACGGGTTTAAAAAATGATCAATATTACATAGAAACTGATGCATTTTCACCATTCTGAGGTCGTTCTGAAACCTTCCTGCTCTGCTTAAACAGTACCATGTGAGATCTTTGTTTTACTTCGCTACTTGGTCTCTGAATCTGTCTCTTTTTGGTCTCTGATGGACCTCACACAGGCTCGCAGCAGAGATACCGCATTCCTGCCTATGCTGCGGCCCATGTCCAATGTTGTCTTTCAAATCAGAGATTAACAGGAACACATGTATCCCAGTTGTGTACATAACGTGCGTCTCCAAGAGAGCCAAGAGGAGTGCTGAGCATAAATCTGTTTTTACACATTCTTAGGCTGATTCATGCCTTTACTGAGATTGCCTGACAGGCACATTAGATTTACAGCTGCTACACCTGAAGATTTGATGAATGATTTACAAAATGTGGCGCCTAAAATCCATTTTTACTCGTCACGTTACAAACACAAGCTCCAGTGGGTTTTATTGAGATTTTATGCGATGGACCAACACAATAATTGAGAAGTGGAAGGAAAAGGAGACACAATTTGTATCTTTTTATTTTTTTTTACAATAAAAATCTATAAAGTGTGACATTTGTATTCAAATTGAGCTGTTTTGTACATCTTGAGACTGAAATGTTTGCAAAACAGTTTAAGACTTCATTGAGAGTGTGTGTGATCATGTATTTTCCAGTCTGGCCCCCAATTTTGAACTGGATTTTGACCTGGACTTTGACTGGACCAATCTTAACAAGTCAGATTTGTTGTCAGGTTTTTTTTTTCCAGAACTCTCTCATACTTTGACCGCTTTCACTTTCTATGCTGAACAAAAAACATGATGCTGCCACCACCCCCTTTGATGGGGGCAGCATGTTCAGGTAGTGTTGGTTTTATGCCACACATAACATTTTCCATGTAAACAGTTTAACTGTAGCTTCATCCGATTAGAGGAGCTACAGGACATATTGTTGATGTCTTGTTGCCATTTCTCCTCAGTTTGTCCACATATTTGGTTTGCACTTTTAACACTGAAGATAACCAGTTGCACTGCTTTTTATTGAGGCATATCAGGGAAAATGGATATAAATACACAATTGTTATAGGTTTTAAGGGGACCTATTATACAAAATTCACATTTTTATTTATTTATTTATTGTCTCTACAGCTACTAAAAACAGCCCAGTTGGTTTTTGGTATTACCGGTAAGTTAATGTTTTTTGGTGTACGGAAAGCGAGCCATTTCAAAAACTTGCCAATTAAGTCGCATTCGACTGGCAACCCAAGTTGAGCCCCAGCACATTTGGTCAGCTGGTTTTACTGCTGTACAATGGCTGCCGGAAAGAAAAGTGTTTTGTTGTTGACTTACCATTCAGAAACTACTTGCTGCATTCTTGTTGGTTGTGCAGGAGGCTCTACATCTGCTTTTCAAAGCTGTATGGTGGTATAATTGTGCATCTTTTTGCAGCCATTTTCACATGCAAGTGTAAACGTTGAGTTAGGGGAGGTAGCCATTAGCAGCTTATTTGGATTTAAAGCGACAAGATGCAGTAAAACAGCTAAAGTCTCATTATCTATGATCAGTATCGAACAATTAATGTAACAATCATATTTTGTTTAGCCCTTAGCCCTATCCTAACCTGATGAAGGAAGAATAATTTAAGCTATGCATCACTTCCTTTCATGCCATTCTATGCTCTACTTTGTGTTGGCCTAAGTTTGTGGTTGTACTCAGACAAAATGTGAAAGAAAAAAAAAATCACTTTGCCGTATGTTTCTAATCTAGAGGAAATACCCAGTAGAGATTGAAACGCTCCATCAAGACCCTGTGTGTAAATCTATCTCGGTTTCACCCAGTGTCTCAAATATCTGACAGAAGGCCAAGCCAAGAACAGAGCAAACAGATAATCTAGCATCTGCATCACATAGGTAGCCACACAGGCCACAAGCTGGAGAAATGGGCCTGACTTGTGGGGGAAGAGGTTCTCCACTGGTTTTACACACAGAGATAAACAGCACATTATGCTCAAAATAGGCTCCCTTCATCTCCCCTTGACCTAGAATTTGTGCAGCCACACTGAGGTTTTTTTTTACATCCGAACCCTGCTGTTATCTGCTACTGAACAATTGAGGAGCGTTCAGCACCTAACTGATCACCAAAGATAACCAGGGTCGACCACCGAGAGCTTCAGGAACCGTTTTTGTCCTGAAATATCCTCATCACGGGGGGACACTGCTGGGTTATAATGGAAATGTATGGCAGGGTGTGTCTTGTTATGAAAATCCCACAAATTATGGGCTGGTGGGGAATTGTTCTAATCCAGCAAACCAGCGCTGCGGAAACAGAGCTGCCATTTTGGAGAGAGGGTAAAGAGTTATTTATTTCCCTGAGTCCAGACCGAGAGCAAATGGATCAGGGAGAACCTGTGTGGGCCTGCTGGTGTATTTTGAGGGGAAGGGGACCCCACACTTTTGAGTGTAAAAAAATACCTGTCAGGGGAACTGTATGGAAGTTATAATTACAGTCGATTGTTATCCAAATACAGCGCTGACACGTCCGCCCCTTTGATTTTCCAAGAATCAGCGGAGAAATATCCGGAACAATTTGAGATTTCAGCCATTTTCTCCGTCCTTGGAGCGTCTTTCTCCTAATACCTCTCCTGGCTTTTTGAGGGAGGAGGAATCAGATGTTGAGACAGAGCAGCGTTCCCGGATCATGTTGTGTTTCTGCGGCCCGCTGCTTTTCTTGGAATGTGCTCCGTCTCTTTGATTGTTCTCGTTTCCTGTGATTCAGAGGCCCTTTGTCTCCGCGAGGTAACGTGCTAATCAGGGAACTCCGTCACAGCGCCCCCGTCGCCGGGCCGCGCTCCCTAATGTCACCCCCTGTGTTATGATATTTTTGGCTCTGCTCTCATGCCTCATGCAGTCGCACACATGCAGACACACAAAAGACGGAGAAGCGAGGAAGAACAATCACCTTTAGGAATGCGCGGAGTAAAAATGACATAAGTGGGAGCTGAGGAGGTACAGTAACCGCTCTGTTTGTGAGAAAAAAACTCGCCATAAATCTTTCTCAGAGGGAATTTCCTTTCCGTTTCAGACGCCTGCATGATTTATATTTCTATATGTTCGACGTTTATGGATACACACCTCAGAAAAATTTGCTCGAAACGCACAAACTCAGAAGGATCATAACCAGGGCAGTTTTTTTTTTTTTTTTTTTTTTTTGCGCCCTGGGTTTCCCCCCATCTCCTTTTGCTTAGACTGTGGTTTCATGATGTGTTATGGGATCCATGAAACAACAATGAAACCAGATGTGCTTAGTAATACATCTATGTACGGTCTTAAGTTTGCAGAAGTTGAGCCGGGTGCACGCCGTGTGAGAACTTTGTGCCGTCTAAGCTTTCTGGAAGGGCTCTCTTCCCTTTTTATACCGCCTCTTAAAATAACGGCCGTCCCATTGGCTGAGAGCGGCCAGGTCACTGAATCACATCAGGCCAATTAGAGAGTAACACTTCCTTTGCTGTGAAAGATGTTTCCTGTTGATAGTAA